GTATGCACGCACACACACACACACACCTACACACACACACACACACACACAAACACACACACAGCTGGTCACGCTGGTTTGGGTCTCCAGTGCTGAAACCTGTTTGGACGTTAACCAACATATTAAACATACAGGAACTGACCGACTGGGGAAACCAAGAATACACTTCTGTCAGCCATCACAGCTAAATTTTAACTCATGGGGAGCTCCAGAACCCACAGCTCCAGAACCCAAAGCTTCAGACCCCACAGTTTCAGACTCCACAGCTCCAGACCCCACAGCTCCAGAACCCCAGCTCCAGACCCACAGCTCCAGACTCCACAGCTCCAGACTCCACAGCTCCAGACCCCACAGCTCCAGAACCCACAGCTCCAGAACCCACAGCTCCAGACTCCACAGCTCCAGACCCCACAGCTCCAGACTCCACAGCTCCAGACTCCACAGCTCCAGACCCCACAGCTTCAGACCCCACAGCTCCAGACTCCACAGCTCCAGACCCCACAGCTTCAGAACCCACAGCTCCAGACCCCACAGCTTCAGAACCCACAGCTTCAGACCCCACAGCTCCAGACTCCACAGCTCCAGAACCCACAGCTCCAGACTCCACAGCTCCAGACTCCACAGGTCCAGACCCCACAGCTTCAGAACCCACAGCTCCAGACTCCATAGCTCCAGACCCCACAGCTCCAGACTCCACAGCTTCAGACTCCACAGCTCCAGACCCCACAGCTTCAGAACCCACAGGTCCAGACCCCACAGCTCCAGACCCCACAGCTCCAGACTCCACAGCTCCAGACCCCACAGCTTCAGACCCCACAGCTTCAGAACCCACAGGTCCAGACCCCACAGCTTCAGAACCCACAGCTCCAGACTCCACAGCTCCAGACTCCACAGCTTCAGACTCCACAGCTCCAGACCCCACAGCTTCAGAACCCACAGCTCCAGACCCCACAGCTTCAGAACCCACAGCTCCAGACCCCACAGCTCCAGACCCCACAGCTCCAGAACCCACAGCTCCAGACCCCACAGCTCCAGACTCCACAGCTCCAGACCCCACAGCTTCAGAACCCACAGCTTCAGAACCCACAGCTCCAGACCCCACAGCTTCAGAACCCACAGCTCCAGACCCCACAGCTTCAGAACCCACAGCTCCAGACCCCACAGCTCCAGACCCCACAGCTCCAGACTCCACAGCTCCAGACTCCACAGCTCCAGACCCCACAGGTCCAGACCCACAGCTTCAGAAACCACAGCTCAAGACCCCACAGCTTCAGAACCCACAGCTCCAGACTCCATAGCTCCAGACCCCACAGCTTCAGAACCCACAGCTCCAGACCCCACAGCTCCAGACTCCACAGCTCCAGAACCCACAGCTCCAGACCCCAGCTCCAGACTCCACAGCTCCAGACCCCACAGGTCCAGACCCCACAGCTTCAGAAACCACAGCTCCAGACCCCACAGCTCCAGACCCCACAGCTCCAGACTCCACAGATCCAGACCCCACAGTTTCAGACTCCACAGCTCAAGACCTCTCTGGCATGTTAAAAATGTGTATGTTCTTTCATTGTTCTTATGTTCTCCAGCACTTCTTTGAAGTGAGAGAGGACTGTTTTAGCCGACAATCGAGTTTCTCATTAATAGTCATTAGTTGATCAGTCATCAGTAAAAGTGTTAAAGTGTTTTAGCTAGCCCAGGCTCAAGTTCCATCTCACTGTCGTCTTCTTCGTGTCCGCAGCCACGTTGGCATGCTGGCGTAACGTTAGAGGTTCCATTGGTGGTTTTCTTTCCACCTGCATTCTCATTATTTACAGCCAAACTTCATGAACAAAGGCAGCCTTACCTGGGACCTGAACTTGGCCTTCATAGACCTAACAAAAACCACCAGGCTCTGTGGAGCATACTATCAAGGTACGGCTGCCATGAGAAGCATAAGAAGGCTTCAACGGTATGTCGATCACAGTCTGAGCCCTTCACTGTGGAAACAGGGGTCAAACAGGGATGCACTATTGCACCCACAGTTTGCCATCTTCAATTGTTGCCACAGGGGATCCCAGTCCTGTACCGAATTGACACCAGGCTCTGCAACCTTAGTAAGTTCAAGGCCAAGAGGAAAGTCAGCAACACCTGATCGCGGCACACTCCGCAGAAGACCTACAGAGCTTTGCCAGGACATTCAGAGCCCTGGGCCTAGCATTAAACATCAAGACCCAGGTCCTACATCATCCTCCACCCAACCAGCCATTTACCCAACCAACAGTAAGAGTGGACAACACCGCTCTTGTAAATGTTGTCCTCTAACTTGGCAAATCTGACATCAACTCTGAGGTCGACCAGTCTGCTGGTTCAAGTGTCCTTGGGCGAGACCCAAAACCCCAGATTTCTCGCTGTTTGTTATTGATCACATCACTCTGACCAAAACGGTTTTCTTCTTTCAGGTTTAAAATCTTCTCCAATCAATCCGCACTGGAATCTCTGGCAGTAAGTGTCTTCTGTGTATTACTTCATCTTATACTACAAGTTACAACATTAACTAGATAGAGGGCGGAGATACGAGCATTTACTCTGACATCAGGGCAGTAAGAACTCGTCTGTCTGTCAGCTGATTCCTCTGCAGGTTCCTCTGAAGACCATGTTGCAGATGTCTGTGGTTCCTTTAATCAACAGTAAGTGTTCAGCACGGTTTCTACTGTAACACATTGTGGCCCTGACGTTCTACAGACGTTCTACAGACTGTGTGTGTGTGTGTGTGTGTGTGTGTTCAGACTGGACAAAGAGAGGAGTTCGGATTCCTCTGGCTGATGGGATGGATTTCATTGAGGAGGTTGTTGAATATCACAATGTAAGTCTGTTTACACAAGTTTTTACATGTTGTACTCTGATTGTAAACGGTCTGTGTATTATGGTGATATACTCACTAAGTGCTGCCCCCTAGTTCTGACAGCAGTGTATTGATCTCTGCAGGGTTTCATCGTGATCGGAGCCAATCTTCAGTTCAGCAAAGGACTGAGAGAAATGATCGCAGGGAACACCGAGACAGAGCCAGAGACCACCACCGTCTAAATATATATAGGAATAAACAGTATATACATATACACACACAATGTAAATATATATTACACTATGCGAACATCTATAAAAATATGTTAATATATACAATCACATCAGCAAATGACAGAGAAATGACGACAGGGAAGATCGAGGGAGCCAGACATCACCTCCTATTATATATATATATATATATATATATATATATATATACATATATGTATAAAACACACATACACACTGGTATGTAGAATATACTGTATATATTGTGGCATACAACAACTGTCAATATGTGAAAGACTGTAGTACATCTACTGCATAAATATTAGTTATTAGTTATATTTGCATTAGTTTTAAATACACTGAGGAGGTATAACACTGAATCACAACATCATGTAGTATAACACCTCTGTGTTCCCCTCCAGGGGGCGTGGCCTCACCAAGTGGGTCATTCCGTAAACTGAGACGGTGCGTTCAGGTGCACTGACATAAATCCAATATCTGCCCATTTAATCCCAGTGTTAAACTGGGACCAGTGTGATGAATACTGAATGAACAGGTTGTAATGTCAGACCTGAACTCATGATGGACAGCTGTCAGTTAGTGCTGCAGGGTTCAGTCTTACCACACAGCAATTCACTGTGGGACAACATTAAATCACATGGACCTTTGTTGCTTTGTGGATCCTGGAAATCTCTCTGTTAACATTCAGAGTGTTGTATAAAAACTCATTGTGTGAATCTCTGAGCTGAATTTCAAAACACTTCTTTACATCCATTTTTATTTAGTGTGTTTCTTTCACCTTTAACCAACATCAGTGTACTGCTGTGAAATATGTCACCTGTGTGGTTACGCACATACGTGTTGTCCTCTTATCAGACAAACAAAACCAACCTGTTGTCATTCCCGGGCGCCGCATACGGACGCTTTGTCAGACCCCTTGGTATCATTTTTTGCCGCCCCAAGTACCTTTAGTGTTGTTTTTCACATGACGCACGAAACGTCCAGTTAGACTTTCAAAATAAAGCTAATGGTTAATGTTGCAGTTTGATTAAGTTTAGGCAGCAGAACTACTTAGGTTTAGGAAAAGATCATGGTTTGGGTCAAAATAAGTACTTTACTTACGTCACTTAAATTAGCATCACTAAACAAGAGACAACTGGGAAATGTGGTTAATGTTGGGGAAAGATGGCGTCAGATGACCGTAAATTAAGAGTTGCTTACCATATTTATCATGCTGTGTGTGTGCTGGCTCTAACCAGAATCACAACAGGAAATATGAAGTATTATAAATAATCCTGAACATGTATAACACATCGATTTAGTGTTGTGGTGAAATTACAGTAAACCAGTGTGAACCAGACTGTTAGTGAGTCAAACATGTTAAAGTCATTGCACAAAGCCGAATTTTCAAATGTTCATTTCCCTGTAAGCTGGACTGTAACCATGGAAACATGACATCCAGACATAAACAAGCAGATAAAGGTGAGCGTGTAGGTGGAGTCAGGCCTGCAGGTGGCGCCCCCTTCAACCTGTCCACACCAACAGGAGCTCCCCTGTCTGATTACAACACCTGAACGTGTTCACTGCAGGATCACGTGGGATCCCTCCTGGGCTAGTCTGGGTTACTACATAAATAAAAACCTAAACTGTTGCAACAAACTGATGAAAATGATTCAGAAATAAATAGACCATGATGCTGATTTGTTAAAAGTCTGACTTCATGTTTGGTCAGGTCTGTACGACAAAGACGACAAGAAAACAACATTTGATTGTTTTCTGAATGGAGTTTGGCTCAATCAGGGCTATGCTAACTTGTTCACACTAAAGTACATCGACAGCTGGAATCAAGTAACAGATATTTACAGAATTTACCAGGTAGTTCAGCTTCTTTACTTCCCTTCCTCCTGTGTCATGAGGCCCAGCTGTATTCTCAGGTCATACACAGAGCGGGAGTCATTACATAGGTGGTTTTTATTTTATTAGTTCATTAAATACAAACTCAGACAGAAAGTGTGTGCGCGTGTTTCATTCTCATCAGGGAAAAGAAACTTCAGCAATAAACTCATTTTAACAAGATCATCCTTATTTAATCTCACAGCATCACAAAGTTCATCAACACTTAGCAATAATTTTGTTAGCAGCTTGTTAATAGTTAATTTCAGGTAACAACAGTTCAATCAATAATCAAACCGTAAACTATCAGTTATGTACCACTGATTATCACTTTATCAGCTTATCAGTCATACATCAGTTATTATCGACACAAACTGGTCAAAGCTTTTTATGAAGCTTCACTTTTCAAAGTGAAATTTATTTAAATCAGGTCTTTGTTTTATTGTTTTATGTCAGTTCATCATTAACTTATCATTTTTGACAGTGAGTAACCTCAGACTGTAACCACAGTTCTCTGAATCCATCGTTGTTTTTAACTCTTCGGTCAGACGGCCGTGAACTGTCCGGCGATGCCGTCGTAGCCATGGAAACCACACTTCTTGCCAGCGACTCTGCAACCGAAGGTCAGAGCGTCCTGCAAACTTCCACCTACAGACAGAAAGCAGAAACATTACGTTCAGACTGCAGGTCGACGCCCGAGAAGAGATCTGCAGGGTCTGATCTGAGGGCAGTGAACTCGCCACGACTGAGGGTTTAATATGAAACTACATCAGCAGTCTGTTCACTTTCTTCATCAAGAAAAGCCGTGACAGGGACAGACAGACACTAACTGGTGTCTAAATTATTTAAGAAGAATCAGATATCTTCAGTTATTAACCAAAACACCAAGAAACTCTTATTAAAAAAATCTAAATGTGTTGACTTTAAATGTCTAAAATCATATCCAGCCATGTTAAAGTTTCGTTTCAGTGGTCAGGATCAGTCCTCACATGATTTGTTTTTTGTTTTTGCCTTTATGTGATAGAGAGACCGGTATATTTTATATATTTCTGTATTGATGAATCCTAATGACACCTATGTACATATCTTTGCTTTGTTTTTTAAATGCTGTTACACGTAATGTTAACCAAAACTTTCACATAAGATGACTGGAGTCACAGGAAAGGGCAGACCTCAGCTGTTCTTGGTTCTACTTCATTTTATTTAGGTGGTTGCAGAATCCTGCTCATCCTCTCACCTCATGCTGCACTCACTCAGAATAAGTAGTTGATCTTAGACCAGCACAGCTTCCATAATCCGATCTCACCCAGGTGTATATGAGAAATGTATTTGTTTTGTTATGTAATGTAGCTGTAAATAAACCTAAAAAGGCCCAAAACTTTCACTGGTTCACATGGACTCTGTGTTCTGCTACAGTAACTCAGAGGCATGCATGAACCCGAGTTCATAAAAAAAACATCTTAGGTTAACAAGGTTAACAGATGTTCCTAAAACAAACCCCGGGCTACATTCACTGTGGGGGAAACAACCGAGGACGTCCATCAGCTGGAAAGGCCGGGGTAACGCAAAGGGTTTGTAGAAGGCGGAGGAGGGAAAGCTGTGACTGAGTTTACATCATTCATCACGTAGGGTTAAACTCCTGGTCTCTTGATTTGCTGCCAAAACTTTGGTGGGAAATCCAAATCCAGCATCACCTACTAGACTCGGGGCCTGATTTACTAACATCCCGAATAAAGAGCACTAAATTGCGTGTGCATTCTAAAATATTGCACGTGCAATTTTAGTACCTGCTATGGGTGATTTACTAAAAATTATTGCATAGATGGCAACAGGAGCAAACACAATGGAGGCAGCAGTATTTAAATGAGCCATTCAAATACACACATTAGAAAAACAAAGCTAATTTCAATAATAATTACAACAATTACATTACTTTAGAAATATAGTATGTTAATATGTGTGACTTGTTAAGTATGTTAGCAAGACAGTCCAGATTGGTGAAACCAGGCTACATCAAATGTTCAGGGGGCGTGCTCAATAAACGTCCCAGACACAGTGCTAAAATAAAAAAATTGAAAAAGGTGATTTCAGGAACAAATGTTGAGAGAAAGAAAAAGAAGGAGCAATAAGAAATAAGAGACAAAAGAAACCACTAAGTTTGTGAATCTACAGAATTTTATCATCATCATCTGATCCCACAGACCGTCCAACAAGACAGACCGTCCTCCAACTTACAGCTAAACAGTCTTTTTGTGTGCTTAATGAACTGAACCACATTTGTTTTTGTGCTTTATGAAATGAAATGGCCCTAATTTTTGTTATAAAAACAAAACTTAACATGTTAGATAAGAGCCCTGCCTCGAAGACATCTACACGCCAGACCTTATTATAGTCATAGCACCACCTACCGGCAACAGGAATGACATGTTTGAACAAGTAAATGTAAATGCTCTGTATTTGTATAGCCAAGAGCTTTTACACATTCACCATTCACTCACATTCATTCACTGAGCCTAAGTGCTCAAACAGAAACTAACATTCACTCACATTCATACACTGGGCCAATTCGCGGTTCAGTATCTTGGCCAAGGACACTTCGACATGCAGCCTGGGGGAGCCGGGATTGAACCGCCGACCTTCCGATAAACGGGCCGCCCCCAAGTTAATCTGATCCATCTCAAAGAACTTGACAATGTTGTACTGCTGGGCTAGTGAGGTTTTGTCGAAGCTTACAATTGCATCAAGATATCTTCTGTTATGAACTGGAGCAACATAAATAAAATTGGATTGGACAGGTCTCACAGTTGGACAGTTATGTCTTACCATTTGACAGCGTGTAGATGACGGCGGAGTTGAAAGTGTCTCCGGCTCCGAGAGTATCGACGAGAGTTTCAGGAGGAAAAGCATCTGAATGAACAACCAAACCGTCTGGACCCAAAGCATCTGCTCCTTTTTCTCCCCAGGCACATACCAGGACAGCCCTGAGAGAGAGACAGGTCAAAGAGAGAGAGACAGGTGAGAGAGAGAGAGAGAGACAGGTCACAGAAAGAGAGACAAGTTACAGAGAGAGAGAGGAGAGAGAGACAGGTCACAGAAAGAGAGACAAGTTACAGAGAGAGAGAGGGAGAGAGAGACAGGTCACAGAAAGAGAGACAAGTTACAGAGAGAGAGAGGGAGACAGGTCACAGAAAGAGAGACAAGTTACAGAGAGAGAGAGGGAGACAGGTCACAGAAAGAGAGACAAGTTACAGAGAGAGAGGGAGACAGGTCACAGAAAGAGAGACAAGTTACAGAGAGAGAGAGGGAGACAGGTCACAGAAAGAGAGACAAGTTACAGAGAGAGAGAGGGAGACAGGTCACAGAAAGAGAGACAAGTTACAGAGAGAGAGAGAGACAGGTCACAGAAAGAGAGACAAGTTACAGAGAGAGAGAGGGAGACAGGTCACAGAAAGAGAGACAAGTTACAGAGAGAGAGGGAGACAGGTCACAGAAAGAGAGACAAGTTACAGAGAGAGAGGGAGACAGGTCACAGAAAGAGAGACAAGTTACAGAGAGAGAGAGAGACAGGTCACAGAGAGAGAGACAGGTGAGAGAGAGGGAGAGAGAGACAGGTCACAGAAAGAGAGACAGGTGAGAGAGGTTTAACAATACCTTTATTTATACATTTTTACTTCAAAATTATGAACAAAGTAACCATCACCATAAAACCATTTGTACTCTTATAATAAAACTCCTTTTTTAAAACTTCAAAACAAATTGATCCTCATGCAACTTACATAACACTTCATCAACACACCATATCTCACAAAACCCAAATAAATTATTTGTCAACCTATAATACGCAAATTCAATCTTAAGCCTCCCCGCTACAAGCCGCTTGCACATCTCTTCAGGATCTACAGTTGCCAATTTTAGACCTTTATTTTTCCGTGTTTTCCACACTGCCAGTTTAGCCGTTCCAATTAGGTAATTTAAAAGACACATTTTTTTCCTTTTTGAAAATGAATATTTGATTCCTCCAATAAACACCCTATCCGAAAACTCCTCCTCAAATTTCCTAAACCAGCTCCCAAGCAATTTAAAAATACCATTTAATCTCTCACACTTTAAAAACAAATGCTCCAAATCCTCTTTTTCCCCACAGAATCGACATTCCCCCTTTACCGCTGTGTTCAGGTGTGCCACATGTCCGTCTGTTGCTATCGCCCCATAAATAATCCTCCACTGTAGATCGCCGGAGCGCTTCTCTACAGGAGGCTTATATAGGGCCCTCCACCTGTCTCTTATCAGGAAGTCTGGCCTCAACAAATCTGGCCACTTCGAAGCCTTCTGTTTTCTAAAAGAGTCCTGATGAATGGCCTTTACTGTAATGTTGTACATTTCCTTCTTTGACATGCTTTTAAAGGAACAAAACTGAGGATTCCCAAAGGATAGAACGGTGTCGACCACTTCTTCTTCATCATCCTCCTTCACTGCTGGAGAAATAACCAGTTCTGGAAATTGCACATTATCCCCCATGTCCTGGTTATTCTCATGTCTTTTTTGTGCAATAAAACTTCTGTACCCACTTGGTAATGCGTTGTTTATTTCTTCCTTTAGTTTTGACACCAGACGTGAAGATCTCAATCCTGTTGCTTTGTGAAGTTCATCAATCGGTTTCCATCCTTCGTCATTCAATAAATGATCCAGCTTAACAATTCCATTCCTTAATAGACATTGTCGTACAGTCACAGAAGACAATATTCTGGTTTGAATCAATGGATTAAAAAAAAGTGGTTCCTCTGGTGCCCAAAGTTCTAGATTGTCCATATTCCGTTCTGCTCTTATAACAGTTCTCCATGTTTGCAACATAGCCCTGTAAAACACAGTGAGCTCAGACAAGTTCATTTCTTCAAGCTTCATTAAAAAGAGTTGTTTATCCAGTCCAAAGCCACCAACTCTCCTCATGATCGCACTTGCAGTCTTTCCCCAAAGCACATCTTTGTCATACAGAAATTTCTGTGCCGCTTGTATCCTGAAACCACGGACTCTGTTTCTCACATCCACTAGTCCTTGGCCGCCTTCTTGCACTGGTAGGTATAACACGGCAGCCCGCAACCAATGTTGTCCATCCCAGAAGAAATTCACTATTTCCCTTTGTATACTGGAGATCAGTTCCTCTGGTGGCTCCATGACCATAGTCCTGTGCCACAGAATAGAAGCAGCCAGATTGTTTACTACCAGCACCCTTCCTCGATATGACAATTGTGGTAATAGCCATCGCCACTTCGACAATCGGGCAGACACCTTCTCTAACAAACCCTCCCAGTTTTTCTTCTGAAATTGATCATTTCCTAAAAAAACTCCTAAAATCTTTAGTCCATCTTTCTTCCATTGCAACCTTCCTGGAAGTTGTGGAAAATTTTCCAAATTGCCAATCATAAAACCTTCACTTTTTGTCCAATTGACCTTAGCAGAGGAGGCTTTTTCATACAATTCAATAGTTTTTGTTAAAATTTCAATATCTTCTTTTTCTTTAATAAAAACTGTAATATCATCTGCATAGGCTGATAAAACCACCTTAGAATGACCGTTGCCATGAGGAATTAGAATTCCATTTAAATTCTTCCTCAACCTACATAATAGAGTTTCGATAATTAGGCTATATAGTTGTCCAGAAATTGGACAGCCTTGCCTGATGCCTCTTGTCACGGGTATTGGAGCACTTAAACCACCCCCTACTTTCACCATCACATAAACATTCGAGTACAACAACTTAATATATGAAATAAAAACATCACCAAATCCATAACCCTTTAACACTTTAAAAAGATAATCATGATCAACACGATCAAACGCCTTTTCTTGGTCCAATGACAACACTCCTAAATCATTCTTAATTTTCTGATTAAATTCAATTATATCTCTCACTAAAAAAAGGCTATCTATTATAGATCTCTTAGGAATGCAATATGTTTGGTCATTTTTGATCAACAAATCCAGACAGCGCTTGAGTCTATTTGCTAAACACTTCGAAACAATCTTATAGTCCAGACACAACAGTGATACCGGTCTCCAGTTTTTTAGCAGTCCAAGGTCTCCTTTCTTTGGAAGCAATGACAAAACTGCTCGACGACAACTTATCGGAAGTGCATTATTTTTTATGCATTCTAAAATAACTTCATATAAATCTGGTCCTATTAGGTCCCAGAAATGTTGATAAAACTCCACCAGTAATCCATCAATCCCCGGCGATCTGCCGTTAGATAGTTGCCTCATCGCCTCTGTAACCTCATGAAAAGTTATTACATCATCCAGCTCTTTTTTCTTTTCTTCTTCCAGCTGAGGTAAGTCCTTAAGCAAGTCTTTAGTGCAGTCAATGTCACAACTCTCAGCTGTATATAATAGTTTATAAAAGTCTCCAGCCAATCTTCTCATTTCTGTAGGATCTGATGTCACGGATCCATCCGAACGACGAAGATGGCACATCATCTTTTGTTGGACATGTTTCCTTTCCAGGTTAAAAAAGAAAGCACTTGGAGCATCCATTTCTTTTACAGAACAGTATCTTGATCTCACCAATGCTCCTTTTGCTTGCTCATGTAGAAGAGAGCTTAGCTCTTGTCTTTTCTTATTTAACCCATGACACTGTACAGCTTCATTATTATTTACAGCTTGTCTTTCAATGAACTCAATGTCACTTTGTAAAGCTTTCACTGTTGCTTTCAGTATAATTGATGAGTGGAAAGCATAGTTTTGACAAAACATTTTTATATTTGTCTTGCCCACATCCCACCATTGACTTAGGTTTTCAAAAGAACTTTTCTTCAATTTCCAAATATCCCAGAACACTTTAAACTTTTCACAAAAAGAGACATCCTGTAATAACTTAATATTAAAAATCCAGTAATAATTAGATCTGCATGTTTTTTCCAAATTAACATCTAATATGACCATATGATGGTCTGAAAAACCATTAGGTCTAATAAAAGTATTCATCACCTTGTTGTTCCATGTCTTTTTTAGATAAAACCTATCCAATCTCGCTCCACTAATTCTATTATCAACCACTCTTAGCCACGTATACTGCTTTACTCCTTCATTCCTCGTTCTCCATACATCTGTTAACTGAAATTCATTTATAACTTTTTTTAATACATCCCTAGACTTACTATGAGGCTCTTCTCCATTCCTATCAACAACAAAGTCTATTGTACAATTCCAATCACCTCCAAGTATTAGACAAACATTATCATCATATTTTTTTAGCACTTTCCTTAACTCCATAAAAAATATCAGCCTCTCTGGACCATTATTAGGAGCATAAACATTAACAAATAAAGACTCTATTCCATTATACTCAATTTGTGTTAGAAGTAATCTTCCTTTCACAATTTCTTCTATCTTTACAATACTCACACTTTTAGAAAATAAAATAGCTACCCCCGCACTATTTCTTGTGTCATGACTCAAGGCAAATTTTCCTTTCCACCACAACCCCCATTCGACCTCATTATCAGTGTCTGTATGCGTTTCTTGTAAAAAACAAACATTAACCTTTTCGATTCTTAAAAACTCAGAAATCTTTGCTAATTTATTCTTGTCCCTACCCCCATTAATATTTAATGAACCCACTCTCCACACATCCATATAGAGAATTAAGAAAAAGACAGAAACTGAAAAAAAAGAGCAGAGAGTAAAGAACACCACTTGTGATTTATTCATATCTAAGCTGTTTTTAAACTTTCGCTTTCCTTCTCCTCAACTTCGTTACCATCTTTTTCAGCCTGAATCTTTTCTTTTTATCCAAAACTTCATAGCTCACTGTTTTTTGCAGAAACAACACTGATATTATAAATTTGTCCACATCTGGAAAAAAATCTTCTACTTCTACAATTTTACCGAATGTTGTATCCAGAAAGTCATTAATTTCCTCTAAAGGGTACATGTCTTCAATCACTTGTGACCCAATTTCTGAAAACTCAGAAAGAGCATCTTCATC